AGGCGGCTGCAGCTTTGCCTGATAAACAGAAACGCATGGGCTTCGCATACTTTTGAAAAACTCCTCTCCCCCTCCTCCCTCTCCCCTCCCCCCCCCCCCCCCCCCCCCCCCCCCCCCCCCCCCCCCCCCCCCCCCCCCCCCTCTTCTCCTCCCCCTCCTCCTCCTCCTCCCCCCCGCCCCCCACCCCCTTCTCCTCATGGCAGGAGAAGGGAGCTCCTTGGAGAGCCCGCTCCTTCCGGCCTCTGTCTGCCCCTGGGTCAGGCTGCTGTCCACACGGCCTGCTGTGTGTCGGGGTCTCTGTGTGGGAATGGCAGACCCAGGCGGGCTGTGTGCCGGGGTGGGTGTGGGAATGTCAGACCCAGGCAGGGCGAGGCTGTGACTAAGACGCAGCAGACCTTTGACCTCCGTGACTCAGGGCTGCCATCCTGTCCTGTGCCCCTTGGCTTCCGAAATCTGCAGCCGGAAGGCGATTCTGAAGCCCAAGGGGACAGAGCAAGCGCCGCCCTCTGCAGGCGCTGCCCTGCCGTCAGCTCTGCAGCAGCCTGGGGTTTGGGGCATCACGGGGGCGGGGAGGGGCTGCATCCTCCAGACTCAGTTTCCTCACCTCTAAAATGGGGTCAGAGGTGTTGGAGCAATAACAAGGTAAAAGAATGGAAAGTGCCAGCACACAGTAGGTGGTTGGGAAAGCCTCAAGCATCCGCCCTAAAGGGCCAAATGGCTTCATGTCTGGCAGGTGCTCCTCCCCTGCACCCCCAAAACTGACAGCATCCTGGTATCCCAGCCCTCGGGACTAGGGCTGCACCTCCTCCCTGTTCGCGTCCGGATGGCGACACTGAGGCACACCAGCGGTACCCAGATGTCCTGCAGTGACAGGACTGGGAGATGGCCCCAAGCCCTGGTTTTCTGGCTCCCAGAGCACCCGGGGGCTCTGAAGTGTGGGGGTCACCTGTAAGTGAGGGTGGGCGCAGAGGGGTTCCCGCCGGGCAGGGCGAGTCAGCAGCAACAGTGGCGACATAGTTGCTGGCTCATCCATCCCTGAGTATTAATTGGGCGTCTACAGTATGCAGCACTGTACCGGGCACAAGATGTGTCAAGTGAGTCCCTGCCTTCTGTGTGGACATTTCTAGAAGAGCAAAGAGGAGTGGGGGGGGAGAGCTGCTGGCCCAGTTGTGGGGACAGGCTCCCCCGCCCCCTCCCCTGCCCCCCCCCGGGCCCAAAGCTTGGTGATGAGACTCCAGGTGTTTGGGGCCATCTGGGGAAGCCCAAAGCTGAGGGGGTTCTCCTGGTCCCCCAACTCTGCTGGGACGCTTCCCTGCAAGCTAGCAGCCACAGAAAGCAGGCCCTGCTGACCCCGCCACTGCTTGCACGGAGTCTCAAAAGCAGAGCCAGGCTCCTGGCCGGCTGACACTTCCATGTCCTTGCTCTGCCGCAGCCCAGCCACCCAGTGCGGACGCCCAGCCCCGTGTGATGAGCAGACCGGGGCTAAGATTAGCTGCTGGGGCGGGCCCTCCTGAAGGGAGATGGGTCCACATCCCAGTTCCCTGTCTCTCCTGGCCAGGGGTGAGACCCCTGGCCTACCTCCCCATTCAGGGACCCCATGAGGACAGGAAGGGGGCGTGGCCTGTCCTCAGCCCCATCTGCCCCTGCTCAGGGTATGACCTCTGCGAGGCTGAGAGTCAGGATCCTACATTTTTGCTTTGTTTCCTTCATTTGAAACAACAACAAAAACACCCACACTGGCCTGAAACTCTCAATCCTCCTGCCTCAGCCTCCTGAGTGCCGAGATTGCAGGTATACACTACTACACCCAGTGTCCCTTACATTTAAACAGGCAAGGTGGCATCTCACTGGTCTTCTGTATGTTAAGGCAGTTTTTTCTTCTTTGTTTGTTGGTTGTGGGGCTTGAACTCAAGGCCTGGTTGCTGTCCCTGAGCTCTTTTGCTCAAGTTGAGTGCTCTACCACTTAGAGCCATAGCACCACTTCCACTTTTCTGGCAGATAATTGGAGATAACAGTCTCACAGACTTTCCTGCCAAGGCTGGCTTCAAACCTTAATCCTCAGATCTCAGCCTCCTCAGTAGCTAGGATTACAGGCGTGAGCCAACAGTGCCCAGCTTAAAGCAGATTTTAATATCATAGAAGAACGTGTCCTGGCTAGAACTCGTATAGGTAGACCTTATTGTCAGGACTGCTTGGTCTTTTCATGCCGGATACAGTGATATTCCTGAAGATTATGCAGGGTTGTAATTAATTCAACCAGTCCCATCCATGGATGCGTGCTGTAGCTGTTTTATTTCTTTGTGATCAAGAATGTAATGCCAGGAAACAAAAGCCGGGAGAGCTCCTGAGCCAGGATGGCCGGAGATTGAGACTCTTTCCCTAGAGTGGACCAACAGGAGACCCCAAATTACAAATTACAGTGGTTGTAAAAGAGCAGTGGCCAGCGGGAGCGGGGAGGGCAAAGGAGGAGCAATTGATTCTGGGGCTTTGTACACATGAGTGGACGTGCTGAACTGACACGCCTCTCTACAACTAATCGATGCTAATCAATGGAACTACATATGCATATGCACATGAGCGCATGTGTGTATTATATACATGTGTATATATATACCTCTGTGCGTACACACATGTGTATATATGTGCTCTGGAGCAGAGGGAGGTTTAAGCCGCACAGGTAGTACATGGTGACCACAGGACTTGAACCTGGACAGAGGGTGGTCAGTGTGAGAGACCTGCCGGTATTTCTTTGGCAGTCCCCGTCCCAAGAGAAGGAGGGAGGGTGACTCAGGTGGGAGTACCGTGTCCCCCCCTCCCAGGACTGTGCACAGGTGTGGGCTCAGGGTGTAGGGAGAGGAGAAAAGGCCAGGGAAATGACCGTGAGTCACTTTCAAACCACACACTTCCTCCGAGACCAGCACGGTGAGCCGGCTCCCACGTGGGGGGAATCTGTATTGACAAGTCTGCTGGCTGCTTTCAGGTCCTGCTGGGGACTTGTTAGCTGAGACTCCCTCCTCCTCCCCTCCTTTCCCTCCCTCCCTCCTCCTTCATCTCCCCTCCTTTCTCTTTTATTTTAAAGTTAGGATCACAGACTCTTGAGGGGCCTCCTGTTTCAGTCTCTGAGTGCTGGAATTATCATGCTCAGCTTGAAAAGAGCCTTTTTGGTTTGTTGGTAATGGGGCTTGAACTCTGGGCTTGGGCACTGTTCCTCAGCTCTTCAGCTCAAGGTGAGCCTCTACCACTGGAGCCACATCGCCACTTCCGGTTTTCTGGTGGTTCATTAGAGATTAGAGTCTCACAGACTTTCCTGCCTCAGCTGGCTTTGAACTGTGATCCTTAGATCTCAGCCTCCTGAGTAGCTAGGATGACAGGCGTGAGCCTCCGGTGCCCCTCGAAAAGACCCATTTTTGCAAGGGAAGACAAGTACTACATCTCCTCCCAGTACAGCAGACGCTGACTGTCTCTGTAAATCCCCTCCAGCCTAGTCTTCAGATTGATGTTAATCATTGCAATCAGACAATGCTTAATAGAGTCTTGTTTAAAAATACTCACTTTTTTCAACACAAATTCCTGCTGGAATGTGCACCAAGACACCATAAAGGAAGCCTGGCCTTTCTCCCTCTGCTCACAAGCTCCCTCCCTGGTCCCTTCAGGAATTGCACTCCATAGAACTTAAAAGCCCAGCTGTGGGCTCGGGGGACTCTTGTCTGACCTGTCACAGGACGCAGACAAGCTGTGCTCCAGGAAGGGATGGGCTCTGAGCTGGAATGTTGGGGCCCCTGCAGGTGAACATAGGGAAGGCCGCCGGAGTCCTGGGGTCCTGAGCCCCGTGTGACTTTGCTCTGACTCAGCATTTCCCGGCTGCTCATAAAACCATTTCCTAATCCTGCATAACCCGAGTTCCACCCCCACCCCGCCTCAAAACCCTGGTGGAAAGGGTTTGTTTCAGCTGCAAATGGCCCAGTGGCCCATGGTGGCTGTCAACAAGAAGAAATCTATAATTTGCAAATGCGGAGTTTTGTTTGGCCCAGGGTCTTGGCCCCAGCCTGAGCCTGAGCAGTGAGCAAGCACGCATGCTCTGGGCCCTGGGAAGTGGAGGCTGTGGGTGAAGACGCTCCTGGGGTCTAGGCTGAGGAGCGGGGGGGGGGGGTGGCCTCTGGCGTCCCCCGTGCCCCGCAGATGTGTGAGCCTGGGCACTGCACCACTGACTTAGGATAGAATATCTAAACCACCTATGCCCTGACAACGGGGCCTGGCGTAACCAGGACAGTCTGGGACCTGTCATGAGCGCCCAGGTCAGTCTTAGCCTGTTCAGGACCCTTGGAAATGGCTTTGGGTTGAACGAAGCCTGTAATCAAGTGTTGTGTGTAACAATACTTTTTTTTTTTTTCCAAAAAGAAGAAATGGACATTGAGGTACAGAGGAAGAAGATAGTGATGATAGAATTCTGAGCGAATTTTGCTTTTCCTTATTTTTTTCTTCTGCTGATCAGCTGCCACCTCCACCACCACCTCCTCCTCCTCCTCCTCCTGCTTCTTCTCTTTTTGGAGGTATTGGGTTTGAACTTGGGACCTTGTTGTTTGCTAGGCAAGCACTCTACCTGCTTGAGTCATGCCCCACCCCCCGCCCCTTTGCTTTTAGTTTACTTTTCAGATAGGGTTTCACACTTTTTCCCAGTCCAGCCTTAGACCATCATCTTCCTATTGCCATGTTCCAAGTAACTGGGGTTACAAGTGTGCACCACCACTCCTGGCTTGTTTTTGGGATGAGTGTGGCTAACTTGTCCATGCATCAAACTATGATCCTCTCGATGTCTACCACCTGGAGTTCGCTGTCCAGTTTTCTACTGTCAGCATCTTTCCCTTTGGGTAAAGGGAATATTTGAATACATATACAGGTACCCATAGTGTGTGTGCGCGCGCACACACACACACATCTTATTGAAATAATATAGTAGATAAAGTTTGTTAAGAGTCTTTTTTTTTTTGCTTGTTTTCCAGATGGGCAGCAAATTTGGGAGATGGAGGCTACTGTGGACAAAGACAAGAGCCAGCCTGTAAGCCCAGATGGAGACAGCTCAGTGTTCACAAGTGCCTGCCCTCCCTCCCTCCCTTCCTTTTCTTCCTTCCTTCCTTCTTTTCTTTCTTTCTTCCTTCCTCTTTTCCCCCTTTCTCCCATTCTCCTATTTCTCCCATTCTTCCCCACCTTTTTTCCCTTCCCTTCCCTTCCTTCCCTTCCCTTCCTTCCTTCCTTCCTCCTTCTCCCTTTCTCCCCCTCCTCCTACTTCTCCCATTCTCCCCCCCTTCCTCCGTGTCTCTTGTTGCTGCCCTCCCTGGAACATATGCCATGCAGCAGACCTGCTGCTTTGCAGCTGTGCCATCTTAACACCTTTTCTTTGCCAGAGAGAGACTTAAACCCCCTTTAACCAAAACTCTGCCTATATTATAAGGCTCTCCCTGCTGTCATGTGGGCTGGCTGAGTGTGCTTAGGGTCTAGGTAGGAATAGAGTCAAGCTCATGATAACTGCTTCCTTCTAGAACATGCTTTTTGTGGAGATCCCTGAGTACCGGAGCAAGCACATCCGCATCCCTGTAAAGGTCAACTTCCACGTCATCAACGGGAAAAGAAAACGGAGTCAGCCCCAGCACTTCACCTACCACCCAGGTGAGGCCTTCCCTCTGGGGTGTGAGGCTTCCCCCTGGGGTGTGTGGCTTCCCCCCGGGGTGTGAGGCTTCTCAGGCAGCGTGCACGGCTGTTCTGAGCCTGGGCTCCCTGTCTGCCTGTGGCGCCTGCGAAGAGTAATAGAAATCAGATGCATATACAGACAGCCCTCCTCCCAGAGCACGGCAGCTGGTGTCAGGCTGGCTCTTACTGTCTTGTCTGTAGACAGAGAAGGATGGTAAGCAGAGGGTTCAGGTCCTGCATTAGATTGCAGGGTCAAAGGTGAGCATGCCCTCAAACCTGCAGGATCCTAGGTTCGCCTAGGAAGCGGGCAGCGATTGCTGGCTGCCAGTCCTGTGTCTAGACAATACCTGAGGACTCCTTGAGTGCTCCACTGCTGTTTGGGGACAGAGGACTCAGCCCTGATGGGGAGCTGCCATCCAGGGAGGTGATGGCAGGGACGGTGCTGGAGGAAGGAGAGCAAGCAGGGACCGGGACTGGAAGCGGCTGTAGGATGCGAGCTCAGGCAGACTAACCAGCTGCCTTCCCAGTACTGGTAGTCGTTGTCAGAATTAACTATACAAGGAGCCTGCAGCCCAGGGCTGGGGAGTGACAGGGCCAGACTATGCTCTCAGCTTTTGGGACCCCTGAGGCCGGGGGTTCCTCACCTGTTGCCCTGCCCTTTATCCTCCATGCGCATGCGCAGTTGCTGTGAGCGTGGGGCGGCCATGTGCTCTTCTCTCCTGGCGCATAGAGTGGTATCTTTGGTGAGATTGGTGCAGCTTGCATGCTCACCTCTCCTTGCACAGACGCAACTTCTGTGAGTTTGGGGCAGCCACGTGCACTCGCCTCTTTGCCCATGTTCAGGTTCGACGAAGCCGGGGCAGCTGCGTGCGCTTCTCTCTTTGCACATGCGCAGCTTCGATGACGCTGGGACAGCCGTGGGGGTTTCTTGTCCTTGCGCATGCGCTGCTCATCTCCTTGGGCATGCGCAACTTTGGCGGGGTCATGCAGCCTGGGGCTCTTCTCTCCCCGCAGTCCCGGCCATCAAGACCGAGCCCACGGACGAGTACGACCCCTCCCTGATCTGCAGCCCGGCCCACGGAGGCCTGGGGAGCCAGCCCTATTACCCACAGCACCCGATGCTGGCCGAGTCCCCGTCCTGCCTGGTGGCCACCATGGCTCCCTGCCAGCAGTTCCGCTCGGGGCTGTCGTCCCCCGATGCCCGCTACCAGCAGCAGAGCCCCGCGGCCGTGCTCTACCAGAGGAGCAAGAGCCTGAGCCCCAGCCTGCTGGGCTGCCAGCAGCCGGCCCTGATGGCGTCCCCCCTGGCCCTGGCCGACGCCCACCGCTCGGTGCTGGTGCACGCGGGCGCCCAGGGCCAGGGCTCGGCCCTGCCGCCCCCGGGCCCCGCCGGCCCGCAGGCCTCGCCCGTCATCCACTATTCGCCCACCAGCCAGCCGCTGCGCTGCGGGGCCCACCAGGAGTTCCAGCACATCATGTACTGCGAAAACTTCGCCCCGGGCCCCACCAGGCCCGGCCCGCCCCCCGGCGGCCAGGGCCAGCGGCTGAGCCCCGGCTCCTACCCCACGGTCATCCAGCAGCAGAGTGCCCCCAGCCAAAGGGCCCCCAAAAACGGACCCCCGGCCAGTGACCAAAAGGAAGTATTGCCCACCGGAGTGACGATCAAACAGGAGCAGAACTTGGACCAAACCTACTTGGATGACGGTAAGACGTCCCTGCCTTCTCCCCAAGTCCACCTCTTTCAGTCTCGATGCCCGTTTTCATTTGAGGGCCTCAGGTAGGGTGACCTGTCATCTATGCGTGGAGCATCGACTCCCCGCAGGAGTTGGGGGGGGAGGTCACAGTTTTAGGTGTCTCCTCTCTACTCATGCCAGGGCAGTTATGGCCACAGGGTGTCCCCAGGGTCACGAACCGATTCTGTTTAATTGCTTCCACTCTCTTTCCAACGGCCAAATTTAGATTGAGGACAGGAAAGCAGAAAGGAAGGAAAGCCAATCTCTTTTGTGGCTGTAGAGAAAATTATTTCCCACTGTGTAGCTCTCTTTTGTGCAGGGGTAGGGGGAGAAGGGGGGAAGGAGAGCGGCTGTTGAAAAGCCACTCTATGAGAGCAGCATGAATGGGGGCTGGGGCACGCTGTGGGCTGCCTGTGCCATGGGCTGCCAAAACACAGGGTACATTGATAGGAGGCAGCCTCGGGTTTCCGCCGTGGTGAGCCAGCTGATGGGGTGGCCAGGCCAAGGAGAAGATGCAAGAAGGCTTTGTGTGCATCAGGAGGTGCCCCAGCTTGTTGGCAGAGGCCCTGACTAGAGACACATCTTGTCAGAGCAGCCGAGATCTGGCATGGGTTCATATCTTGGGGAGGGGCCGGTGACATGGTCCAGCTCACCTGAGCCCTTGCAGCAAGGTGACAGTGACATCCCTTTAGAAAGTAAAAAATAAGGAGAAATTCTCAAAACCAAAACAGAACTAGGAAGGAATCCCTGAAGGGTGGGCTCCCACTCATCTTGGGCAATACGTATTATTTGACTCACAGGTGAGCATCCCTTGTTAAAAAAATGCCTGGGACCAGGGTGCTTTTAGAGTTTGGCATTTTTACATAAGACTTTTCCAGTTGAGTATGCTTCATCCCCAAATATGAAATCCAAAGTCTGAAACTTAAAAATAATTTCTTTTTTGGCATCACGGGGGTTTGAACTCAGGGCTTCATGCATGCTAGGCAGGTGCTCTACCACTGAGCCACACTTCCGTCCCTCTTTTGTTGGTTATTATCTTTGAGATAGGGTCTTACTTCCTGTCTGGGTTTATACCTGTACCACTAGCCACCTATTTTACACTTCCCACTTTAGCTGAAGGTTCAGGCAATCACCACACCCAGCTTCTTTGAGAGGGGGTCTCTGAGAGTCTTTTTGAGATTGGGTCTCTCAAACTTTGCTAAAGCTGACCTCAAACCACTATCCTCTAGGGTTCAGCCTACTATAGAGCTAGGATGACAGGCATGTGGCACAATGTCCAGTTGTTGTTTGAGAAGGGGTCTCTTGTGAATTCTTCTGCCCAAGCTGGCCTTGAACCATGGACATTCTTCCCAATCTTGGCTTCCCCACTCCCTGGGGTTACAGGCCCAAGGTACCCCTACCTGGCCAACATCCTGAAACCTTTGGAACCTCTGAAAGGTTTAGGATTTGGGAACCGTTTTAAGTTTCTGCTTAGGGATGCTTCCTCTCTACCCTGTGAAGTCCATTCTTCAGGGGAATGTACTGTCAGGAACGCAGCCAAGGGTCTTCACAACAGTTAGGTGCTTCTTAAGACTTGCAGGTGCTACATGGTACACATTTCAGCGTCAGGAAACATCCCCTGTGCTGTTGGCTTGTATTTTATATGAAGTCTTGATACAGATTTTCTTGAGATGCTATGACTTCTAGTACTTTCTATGCCCATTTCTCTGTAAACCTCAACCAGGAATATCCACTGATGCAGCAAAGACCTCGGGGCCACGTGCAGTGGGTTCCTGCTTCTGCTGTGCGGGGCAGGCAAAGCTGAGAGTATTTCTGCATGAGTCGTTGGTGGGTGGGGCCTAAGTTCTCCGGCTCCGCGGAGTTGGGCCTGCATGCCGTCAGTCCTGGCATGATTGACGGACGCCCAGAACAGCCACATCTTGTTGCTTCTTTTCCAAGCGTTTCTCAGCTTCGAGCAGTTATCTAGTGCCGATACTGGGTGGCCATGGGTCCCAGGGCAGGGGTGTACCCAGACTCCCTGTGTGAGCTAGGGTCGGTATTTATGAATAAGTGAGGACCAAGCCAGGCAGGAGATGGTGTTGGCTTGGGGTCCAGAGTGAGAAATATGAGCCCTTCCACCCATACCCCAGCGCTCATTCCACACGGAGGAGCCAGGTAGACCCACGGAGGTCACCAGTGCGTGCCACAGCCCCGTCTGTAGCCAGGTTCGCTGGTGCTCGACGGGAAGCAGCCCCCTTGGGGTTTCCTGAGGTGTCTTTTGGCTGCGTGGCTCCTGTCCTTTTCTCTGAGCTGTGCAAAGGTGCCCGTGCTGGGGGCATGCACTGCGGGCCTTTCTGCCTGCTCCCATGCCCCGTCTCCCTTCCGTGATGTCTCCCCTCCCCCTTGGGTAGGCCCCCTCCCCCTTCTGTGATGTCTCCCCTCCCCTTCTATGACATCCCTGTCCTACAGCCCCAGGTGCAGGCCAGGCTGCACCACATCTCCAAGCAATAGCGGATCTTGTGCAAAACCTCCTCCCTCCCTCCCTCCCTCCCTCCCTCCCTCCCTCCCTC